CAGCAGGAAGGGTCAGTGACCAGATCCACTCAGTTGAAGGGACACGTGAGGAAACACATTATAGACCACATGTGATTACCAGGAAATGAGAAAGGGAGCAGCTCTGTGGTGGGTTCAGGAAGACCCCCAGGTCCCAGCGGAGTGGGAGAGGGGGCAGTTAAGGGCCTCACCCAGCCACCCTGTTCCTGGATCCAGGGCAGCAGTCGCTGTCGAATGAAGTCCAGCGTCCAGCCCATGATGCTGGTGATCAGCTCCCGCATGTCCGTGCACAGGGCCTACGGCGATGAGGTGGGAGTAAGGACTGAGCTCCTACTGCCAGGTGACTCCCCAGGCCCCTTTCTCAAACCTCTGCCTCCCCCCGACCCCCTGTGGTTCTTCCCACTCATAACTTGGATCTCATCACTGGCAACTGCCCTGCTTAGGACCTGTCCATCCTCCCAGGTACCCCTGGGATCCAAACCAAGGCATGGGCTGCCACAGGCTGGTGTACAAGTTCTCCTTGTTCATGCTGAATTTTTCTTTTACTGTTTGGTGTCTCATCTTTTTTCCAATCTTCATTCACACGAAACTCCTTTCTGCCTCAGGAACTTTGTGCATGTTGGTTATTCTGCCTCAACAGGACTTGTCTGACTTACCTGCCAGCTAAGACTCAACACCCCCAGTTGCCGTGACCTGCTCTCCAACTCCCTGGACGCCCCCTTCCACCCTCTATGTGGCTGCTTCTCCCCAGATCCACATGGGCCCCCAGCACTGAATGCTGCCCCCACCTCCAGCATTCAGGCCCCATCGGCTCCATGTTACAAACACATCCAGAAAGCCACTTCCTCCCACCCCCGCTCCCACCTGAGTCCCGGCCCCTCATCGTTCCTGGCTCCATTCTGGGTGTCCCCCACCAGCGTCTCAGCTTTTGCCCCTGTGCCCCGCAGTCCCTTTCCCAATTATAGCTGCCAAACAATGTTCTGTGATAATCCTTCTTCCACTTTGAGCGTCTCCAGAGAAAAGCTACCAGGATTTCAGAGTGAACAGTCTCACAGCCACAACAGTGGGCTGCACAACGAGCATTTGGCATTTGGCTACATATGTGAGAATAATCTTCAAATTAAAAATCGGTCACCTTGGGCCTCTCCTGGTGGCACAGTGGTTGAACTCTGGGCTGCGAAGCTGCCCATAGGCTCTGCAGCGCCAGTTCGATCCCCGGCTGCCGGCGAGGGTCCCACATGGCGCACAGACCTCTCCTGCCACAACCACTGCTCCCCTCAGCAGTGTATTTCAGTCCTGCCTGTTCTGTTCCCCGGTCTGGCTCTGGTGAATTCTCTCACCCTCCCGCGCTTCTGACTGTACCCAGTGTTGTATAAATAAATAAATAAATAAATCTTAAAAAAAAAAAAAATTAAAAACCAGTCACCTCATTCTCATTTTTAAAGACAGAGACAGGAGACAATCCTCCTGTGTCCCTGTGAGGAAAGCTAAGGTCCCTCAGGGGTCCCACACTCTGCCCTCAGCCCTCACCCATCTTACTGCCTTCAGCACAGACCTGGCGCTGCCTCAGGACATTGGCACTTGCTGTGTCCTCTGCCAGACGCCTCTGCCCAGCCGACCCTTCTATATCACTGCGTCTTTATTGTCCTCCCGGCTTTGGCTTAATGTCCCCTCTTCTAAGAAGTCTTTCCTGACCACGTGTACAACACGTGGGCTGCAGGAGAGCAGGACCCAGCTGTCTGCTTTGCAGTGTTGGTGGGCCCACGCGTGTTGAATGAATAAGCAAAGGAAGGAGCAGACCAGCAGCCACAGCTGTCTCTGTCAATTCCCTCTGTGGATACAGGGCTGCCCCAGGGGTACGGTCAGGACTCCCAGGTCTCAGGGTTTTGTGGACACCTCCCTGGGCTCACGACCCTGCAGCTGCCCACCTTGAGCACCAGTTTGCTGGCGAAGCAGAAAAGGTCAGAAACCGGGCCCCGGTGATGCCGTCTGAAAATACATGGCGTGCCACTTTGAGAAAGTCCTCAGCAGTGAAGACTCTGTCCATTCCCATCATCCTGCAGGAAAGAGGAGAGCCGTGATGGGGAGAGAGTGTCTAGCAGAGTGTGGAGACCCCTCTAGCCACTTCATCCCCCACGTAAAGGGACCCAGGTCAGGCTGACATGAAAAGCAAGGGGTCAACGTGCAGTCAGGAGACATCTAGGGGAGAGAGGAAAATCACCTCCCAAGGAAGGTTTCTGGATCCCAGGAGAGGGGGTGGCCTGGAGTTCGGACTCCTGAGTTGAGTGATGGGACCCTGGACACTGGCGTGAAGGTGCAAGGCTTGTGGGTGTGGATCGCAGGAGAGCAGGGGGTTGGGGGCTGAAGCTGGGCCTCCTGGTTTATGGAGGTGACCAGTGACTGGAGTCCTGGGTCCTGGGGCCGCACCTCTGCAGCTCCTTGTCATTGTCCACCTCTTGTGCGAAGCGCTTGAGAACTTCCGCCAGTTCTTTGATGTGTGGGTCCTGGGACACCCGCTCTAGGGCCAGCTGAGCTACATATTTTCAGGCTGGTCCTATTTGATCGCAGATGAACCTGAAAGAAAAGGAGTGGAGGATGCAGAGTCAGAAAGGAGCCACTCCTCAAATCCGCTCCCCAATAACAAAACCTCTCCTACTCACCGTGGAAGCAAAATGGCCGCTGTCTCCATGATGTGCTCAGAGCTGGTGGGCCCTGCAGGAGGAAGGAGGGGAGAGGTGTCTGGACTCTGGAGTCCGGGGGTGGGGTCATGGGGGTGGGGAGCCGCTCATGGTCCCCAAGGAAGGCCTACCCTGCGGGGGGCACTGGACTTCTGGGGCCCTGGGAGATAAAGTGACCCGGGACAGGGCAACTGAGTCCCTGATGGAGAAGAGTCGGGGAGGCCCAGCCTGTGTCCCACACTCTTGGGAGGGGGGCATGTGGGAAAAGACTGGGCAACACTTAAGGGTGCAGACCTCTGGCCTGAGGGGCAGCGAGGAGAGCCACCCCTCCCCCCAGAGCAGAGGCAGGAAGTGGGCCTGTCTGGGGGTCTGGATTCAGGGGGCTCCAGGTGCTTGTGGGGTCTGAGAGCCCCCGCAGGAAGAGATCAGGTACCAAAGCAAGAGAGCCGGGACCCCTGGGGAAAGAGGGGCTGGAGGCTGGTGGCACCAGATCCGGAGGTTCTGCCTGGAGCACTTGGAGATCTAGCTCCAGGGGCTCTAGGGGGGACATACCAGGGCTCCCCTCCTCCCGCCCGTCTGCCTCCAGCCTCACCTCCGCCTCTGTGCTGCTCCCCGACCCATACATGACCGCTGCTCTCTCCGCTGACCCTGGCGGGGCCGACCCGGGCAGCAGATCCCCTCCGGGACTCTGAGCTCTCACTTTTCTGGCCGCTGCTCCCCTGGCTTGATGGGCCAATCAGCTTCACCCTCGACAAGCAAACCCCCTGCCTGTGGCCTGTGGGATGCCCTAGAGAACTTCCCTGCCTGCAGCAGCGTTTCCAGAAGTCACAGGTGGGGGCGCCGTCTCCAGGGCAGGAGCCTGAGCGCCCGTCAGGGACCCCCGCGGCCCAGCAAGGGCCTTCCCTGAGGCCACGCGTGTCAGACGCCGGAATCCCGGGTCTGTGTGAACAAAACAGGGTGTGAAGTTCAAAAAGCCGCACAATCCCCGGGGCTAGATGGGCAGCGCGGGGAAGTGGGGGACCCCAAGAAGGGCTTCCGGGGTGTCCCCACTGTGCTGGAGCTTGTGCTGATCATCTGGGTGCGCACAGAGTAAATCCATGGCCCTGTGCACAGAAGACACGCACTTTCCTGGGTGGGGTTCATGGGTCTCCTTGTAAGCAGGAGAAGATAAGAAACAAGTCATGAGAAAATAGTCTGGGGGATGCCACAGAAACCTGTCATTCAGCCAGTGTGGTTAAAATATCTGCTTTTAATTCTTTTTAAAGATTTATTCATTTTCATACAGAGTAGGAAACAGAACAGGCAGACGGACCAAAGTACACTGCTGGGTGGAGCAGCGGGGGAGACAGGAGAGGTCTGCTGCACCATGTGGGTAGCTCCCTGGCAGGGGATCAAACTTAAGCTGCAGTGGCTGCCAATAGCTTCATAGTGCTGAGACTTCACCCCTTGTGTCACCAGGGAAGACCCCAAATATGGGGATTGTAAAGTGGTAATTAAGTTAAAACAAGGTGGACCCTCATCAAGTAAGATTATAGTGTCCTTAGAAGAGGAAATGAGGATCCTCCCTGGTAGCACAAGGGGCTCAGTGTCAGCACTGTGAAGCTATCTGCTGCCACTGCAGAACCATTTCAATCCCCGGCCAGGAAGGTGACCACATGGCACAGCAGACCTCTCCTGTCTCCCCACTGCTCTGCTCAGCAGTGTATTTCAGCAGATCTGCCTGTTCTGCTCCCCACTCTGCCTCTGCTGAATCCTCTCACACCCTACACTTGTGACTTGCACCCCAGTTCTTGTATGCATAAATAAATAAATCTTAAAAATAAAACCTTTTCAGGGCCTCCTCTGGTGGTGCAGGCGGTTGAGCACAGTGCTGTGAAGCTGTCCGCAGCCTCTGCAGCACCAGTTCTATCCCGGCTGAAGGGCGAGGGTCCCACATGGCGTAGCAGACCTCTCCGGTGGCGCCTGCTGCTCCCCTCAGCAGTGTATTTCATCAGTCTGCCTGTTCTGCTCCCCGCTCTGTCTCTGGTGAGTCCTCTCACCCTCCCGCGAGTCTGGCTTGTGTCTGGTTCTTGTGTAAATAAATAAATCTTTTTAAAAAAACAATAAAAAATAAACCTTTTCAGGGCTTCCCTGGTGGCTAAAGGGGTTAAGACGCAACCTATGAAGCCCTCCTTGGGGGGCACAGAGCTGGCCAGCGCTGCCTCCAGCCCACAGCCTAGGGTGCCACGGAGGTGCTGTCGGGACTGTGGGCACCTGGAGGGCTGCCTGGACCCAGCTCATCACTGACCCTCAGGGATCCCCGGGCGCCCCCAGTAAAGAGATGGAACCAACCAGGGAGTGAGCCGAATGACACAGACAGGAAGTGTGGCCTGAATGTTTTATTGCCCCAGATCACCCCAATCGCCCAATCATTCCAAAAGTAAGAAAAATGAGAGTTGAGGGTTCTCCCTGCGAAGCTTGAATGATTTGGAACAGAGGGAAGCAACAGGCAGAAGGGGTGGCAATACAAAAGGAAGGATGGGCCTCTAGCCTCAGCCTTCATGGAAACATGCCATATTCATGCTGAGAAGACAGAGATGAAGGCAGCTGGGGCCTCAGCCTAAGTTCGCCCGAGTCCGAATAAGGCAAGCAGTCCCATCCCGATGGCCAATGCCCCTCCTGCCGTCCACTTGAGTGTATCTGCCCCTCCTGCCGTCCACTTGAGTGTCTCTCCATGTTTCGCGAGGAGGCCATCCTGGGGACACAGACATCTCTCATCAGCACTCAGCTAGGGCAGCCCCCAGGCCGGCTCATGGGGACAGGGGTGGGGGAGGTGTCAGGGAGAAGTCAAGGGCGCAGCAGGGATCAGGGCCTAAGATAATGGGGACTAGAGAGTGAGGGCCAAGGAGTATCAGATGTGAGGGGTTCCAAGGGAACTGGAGGCCCAAGGGAGGGTACAAAGTATCAGTCAGGTCAGAGGTTCCTGGGAGGTCACAGGTCACCAGGAGATGAGGGGTCAAGAGCAGATGAATAGAGTTGATGAGACATGTGAGGCAATGCTTTTAGAACACATTTGATGACAAGAAAATGTGGAGGGGGGCAGCACTGTGGTGGGTTCAAGAAGACCCCCAGGTCCCAGCGGAGTGGGGGAGGGGGCGGTTAAGGGCCTCACCCAGCCACCCTGTTCCTGGATCCAGGGCAACAGTAGCTTTCGAATGATGAGCAGCGTCATGTCCATGATGACGTCGATCGGCGCCAAAGAGACGTGCAGGAACTACGGCGATGAGGTGGGAGTAAGGACTGAGCTCCTACTGCCAGGTGACTCCCCAGGCCCCTTTCTCAAACCTCTGCCTCCCCCCTGACCCCCTGTGGTTCTTCTCACTCATAACTTGGATCTCATCACTGGCAACTGCCCTATTAGGACCCGCCCATCCTCCCAAGTACCCCTGGGATCCAAACCAAGGCATGGGCTGCCACAGGCCGGTGTACAAGTTCTCCTTGTTCACACTGAATTTTTCGTTTACTTTTTGGTGTCTCCTCCTTTTTCCAATCTTCATTCACACGAAACTCCTTTCTGCCTCAGGACATTTGTGCATACTGGTTATTCTGCCCGAATAGGACTTGTCTGACTTACCTGCCAGCTAAGACTCAACACCCCCAGTTGCCGTGACCTGCTCTCCAACTCCCTGGACGCCCCCTTCCACCCTCTATGTGGCTGCTTCTCCCCAGATCCACATGAGCCCCCAGCACTGAATGCTGCTCCCACCTCCAACATTCAGGCCCCATCGGCTCCATGTTACAAACACACCCAGAAAGCCACTTCCTCCCACCCCCGCTCCCACCTCTGTCCCGGCCCCTCATCGTTCGCTGGGTCCATGCTGGGTGCCCCCCACCAGCGTCCCAACTTTTGCCCCTGCGCCCCACAGTCACTTTCCCAACTATAGCTGCCAAACAATGTTCTGTGATAATCCTTCTTCCACTTTGAGCGTCTCCAGAGAAAAGCTACCAGGATTCCAGAGTGAACAGTCTCACAGCCACAACAGTGGGCTGCACAATGAGCACTTGGCTACATATGTGAGAATAATCTTCAAATGAAAAACCAGTCACCTCGGCCTCCCTGGTGGCGCAGCAGTTGTGCGCTGGGCTGGTACGCTGCCCACAGGCTCTGCAGCGCCAGTTCGAGCCCCGGCTGCCGGCGAGGGTCCCACATAGCGTGCAGACCTCTCCTGCGGCGCCTGCCGCTCCACTCAGCAGTGTATTTCGTCAGTCTGCCTGTTCTGTTCCCTGCTCTGGCTCTGGTGAATTCTCTCACCCTCCCGCGCTTCTGACTGTACTCAGTGTTGTATAAATAAATAAATAAATAAATAAATGTTAAAAAAAAAAATTTAAAAATCAGTCACCTCATTCTCATTTTTAAAGCCAGACACAGGAGATAATCCTCCTGTGTCCCTGTGAGGAAAGCTAAGGTCCTTCAGGGGTTCCACACTCTGCCCTCAGCCCTCACCCATCTCACTGCCTTTAGCACAGACCTGGCGCTGCCTCAGGACATTGGCACTTGCTATGTCCTCTGCCAGACGCCTCTGCCCACCCGACCCTTCTATATCACTGCGTCTTTATTGTCCTCCCGGCTTTGGCTTAATGTCCCCTCCTCTTAGAAGTCTTTCCTGACCAGGTGTAACACGTGGGCTGCAGGAGAGCAGGACCCAGCCTGCTTTGCAGTGTTGGTGGGCCCATGTGTGTTGAATGAGTAAGCGAAGGAAGGAGCAGAGCAGCAGCCACAGCTGTCTCTGTCAATTCCCTCTGTGGACACAGGGCTGCCCCAGGGGTACGGTCAGGACTCCTAGGTCTCAGGGTTTTGTGGACACCTCCCTGGACTCCCTACCCTGAAGCTGCCCACCTTGTGTTGTGGCAGTTTGCTGGCAAAGCAGAAAAGGGTGACAATTTTGCCCCAGGTGATGCCGCCTGAAAATATTTCGTGTGCCACTTGAGAAAATCCGCTAAAAGTGAAGCCTCTGAGAGTTTCAGACCACCTGCAGGAAAGAGGAGAGCCGTGATGGGGGGAGAGTGTCTAGCAGAGTGTGGAGACCCCGCTAGCCACTTCACCCCCGACGTAAAGGGACCCAGGTCAGCCTGAAATGAAAAGCAAGGGGTCAACGTGCAGACAGGGGACATCTAGGGGAGAGAGGAAAATGACCTCCCAAGGAGGGTCTCAGGATCCCAGGGGAGGGGACGGCCTGGAGTTCGGTCTTCTGAGTTGAGTGAGGGGACCCTGGACCCTGGGGTGTGAAGGAGCAAGGCTTGTGGGTGCGGATCGCAGGAGAGGAGGGGCTTGGGGCTGAAGCCGGGCCTCCTGGTTTATGGAGGTGACCAGTGACTGGAGTCCTGGGTCTTGGGGCCGCACCTCTGCAGCTCCTTGTCCTTGTCCTTGTACACCTGTTGTGCGATGCGCTTGATAACTTCCAGCAGTTCTTTGATGTATGGGTGCTGGGTCACCTGCTCTAGGGCCAGCTCAGGTACATATTCTGCGGCTGGTCCTATTTGATCGCAGATGAAACTGAAAACAAAAGGAGTGGAGGATGCAGGGTCAGAAAGGGGCCACTCCCTCCCCGGTGGCGCAGCGGTTGAGCGCTGGGTTGCGAAGCTGCCCGCGGCCTCTGCGGCGCAGGTTCGATCCCCGGCTGCTCCCGGCCACCGGAGGAGGGTCCCACATGGCGCACAGACCTCTCCTGCCGCCCGCTGCTCCCCTCAGCAGTGTCCTTTGGTCCTTCTGCCTGCTCTGCTCCCCGCTCTGGCTCTGGTGAATTCTCTCACCCTCCCGCGCTTCTGACTGTACCCAGTGCTTGTATAAATAAATAAAAATAAATCTATATAAAAAAAAAAGAAAGAAAGGGGCCACTCCTCAAATCCGCTCCCCAATAACAAAACCTCTCAAACTCACCCCTCAAGCAAAATGGCCGCTGTCGCCATGATTCGCTCAGAGCTGGAGGGCCCTGCAGGAGGAAAGAGGGGAGAGGTGTCTGGACCCTGGAGTCCGGGGGGTGGGGTCATGGGGGTGGGGAGCCGCTCATGGTCCCCGAGGAAGGCCAACCCTGTGGGGGACACTGGACTTCTGGGGCCCTGGGAGATAAAGTGACCCGGGACAGGACAAGTGAGTCCCTGATGGAGAAGGAGGCAGGGAGGCCCAGCCTGGGTCCTACTCTCTTGGGAGGGGGGCATGTTGGGAGACGACTGGGCAACACTTAAGGGGTGCAGACCTCTGGCCTGAGGGGCAGAGAGGAGAGCCGCCCCTCCCCCCAGGGCAGAGGCAGGAGGTGGGCCTGTGGGGGGGGGTCTGGACTCAGGGGTCTCCAGGTGCTGGCGGGGTCTGAGCGCCCCCCGCAGGAAGAGATCAGGTGCGGAAGTAAGCGAGCCGGGACCCCCGGGGAGGGAGGGGCTGGAGGCTGGTGGCACCGGATTCGGGAGATCTCGCTCCCCGGGCTCTAGGGGGGCAGTCCCGGGGCTCCCCTCCTCCCGCCCGTCTGCCTCCAGCCTCACCTCCGCCTCTGCGCTGCTGCCCGGACCCGTCCATGACCGCCGCTCTCTCCGCTGACCCCGGCGAGGCCCCCCCGGGCGGCAGGTCCCCTCCGGGCCTCTGAGCTCTGGCTTTTCCGGCCGCTGCTCCCCTCGCCTGACCGGCCAATCAGCTTCGACAGCCGCTGAGCAACCCCCCTGCCTGCGGCCTATGGGACGCCCTAGAGAACTTCCGCGCCTGCAGCAGCGTTTCCAGAGGTCACAGGTGGGGGCGCCGTCTCCAGGGCAGGAGCCCCAGCGCCCGTCAGAGCCCCCCCGCGGCCCAGCAAGGGCTTCCCTGAGGCCGCGCGTGTCACACGCCGGAATCCCGGGTCTTCGTGAACAAAACAGGGTGTGAAGTTCAAAAAGCCGCACAATCCCGGGGCTCGATGGGCAGCGCCGGGAACTGTGGACCCCAAGAAGGGCTGCCGGGGTGTCCCCACTGTGCTGGAGCTTGTGGTGATGATCTGGGGGCGCACAGAGTAAATCCCTGGCCCTGTGCACAGAAGACACGCACTTTCCTGGGTGGGGTTCACTGTGGCTCCTTGTAAGCAGGAAAAGATAAGAAACAAGTCATGAGAAAATAGTCTGGGGGAAGCTACAGAAACCTGTCATTCAGCCAATATGGTTAAAATATCTGCTTTTAATTTTTTTAAAAGATTCATTTATTTTTATACAGAGTAGGAAACAGAACATGCAGTCGGACCAAAGTACACTGCTGGGTGGAGCAGCGGGGGAGACAGGAGAGGTCTGCTGCACCATGTGGGTAGCTCCCTGGCAGGGGATCAAACTTATGCTGCAGTGGCTGCCAATAGCTTCATAGTGCTGAGACTTCACCCCTTGTGTCACCAGGGAGGACCCCAAATATGGGGATTGTAAAGTGGTAATTAAGTTAAAACAAGGTGGACCCTCATCAAGTAAGATTATAGTGTCCTTAGAAGAGGAAATGAGAAAAAAAAAAAAAGAAGAGGAAATGAGGATCCTCCCTGGTAGCACAAGGGGCTAAGTGTCAGCACTGTGAAGCTATCTGCTGCCACTGCAGAACCATTTCAATTCCCGGCCAGGAAGGTGACCACATGGCACAGCAGACCTCTCCTGTCTCCCCACTGCTCTGCTCAGCAGTGTATTTCAGCAGATCTGCCTGTTCTGCTCCCCACTCTGCCTCTGCTGAATCCTCTCACACCCTACACTTGTGACTTGCACCCCAGTTCTTGTATGCATAAATGAATAAATCTTAAAAATAAAACCTTTTCAGGGCCTCCTCTGGTGGTGCAGGCGGTTGACCACAGTGCTGTGAAGCTGTCCACAACCTCTGTAGCACCAGTTCTATCCCGGCTGAACGGCGAGGGTCCCACATGGCACAGCAGACCTCTCCTGTGGTGCCTGCTGCTCCCCTCAGCAGTGTATTTCATCAGTCTGCCTGTTCTGCTCCCCGCTCTGTGTCTGGTGAGTCCTCTCACCCTCCCGCGAGTCTGGCTTGTGTCCTGGTTCTTGTGTAAATAAATAAATCTTTTTTAAAAAACAATAAAAAATAAACCTTTTCAGGGCTTCCCTGGTGGCTAAAGGGATTAAGATGCCACCTATGAAGCCCTCCTTGGAGGGCACAGAGCTGGCCAGCGCTGCCTCCAGCCCCATAGCCTAGGGTGCCACAGAGGTGCTGTCGGGACTGTGGGCACCTGGAGGGCTGCCTGGACCCAGCTCATCACTGACCCTCAGGGAGCCCCTGGCGCCCCCAGTGAAAAGATGGAACCAACCAGGGAGTGAGCCGAATGACACAGACAGGAAGTGTGGCCTGAAAGTTTTATTACCCCAGATCACCCCAATCACCCAATAATTCCAAAAGTAAGAAAAATGAGAGTTGGGGGTTCTCCCTGCGAAGCTTGAATGATTTGGAATAGAGGGAAGCAACAGGCAGAAGGGGTGGCAATAAAAAAGGAAGGATGGGCCTCTAGCCTCAGCCTTCATGGAAACATGCCATATTCATGCTGAGCAGACAGAGATGAAGGCAGCTGGGGCCTCAGCCTAAGTTCCCCGGAGTCCGAGTAAGGCAAGCAGTCCAATCCCGATGGCCAATGCACCTGCTGCCATCCACTTGAGTGAATATCCAAGTTTCCAGAGGAGGCCATCCTGGGACACAGACATCTCTCATCAGCACTCAGCTAGGGCAGCCCCCAGGCCGGCTCATGGGGACAGGGGTGGGGGAAGTGTCAGGGAGAAGTCAAGGCGCAGCAGGGATCAGGGCCTAAGATAATGGGGAGGAGAGAGTGAGGGCCAAGGAGTATCAGATGTGAGGGGTTCCAAAGGAACTGGAGGCCCAAGGGAGGGTAGAAAGTATCAGTCAGGTCAGAGGTTCCTGGGAGGTCACAGGTCACCAGGAGATGAGGGGTCGAGAGCAGAAGAATCGAGTTGATCAGACATGTGAGGCAATGCTTTTAGAACACATTTGATGACCAGAAAATGTGGAGGGGAGCAGCACTGGGGCGGGTTCAGGAAGACCCCCAGGTCCCAGCAGAGTCAGGAGTGGGGTGGTTAAAGGCCTCACCCAGCCACCACGATCCTGGATCCAGGGCAGCTGTTGCTCTCGAATGAAGTCCACTGCCACTGCGATGATGGCCACTAACACTGCGGTGAAGGACACTGCCACTGTGATGAAGGGCACTACCACCGTGAGCCAGTTGACTTGATTACTGTGTTGTGAGAGGAGGCCGTCCTGGGGACACAGACATCTCCTGTCAGCACCCAGCCAGGGCAGCCCCAAGGCCCGCTCACAGGGAGAGGGCGGGGAGAGAAGACACGGGAGTCAGGACTAGGGAGTGAGGGTTAAGGATTATCACAGATTTGAGTAATTCTAGAGGACCTGGAGATTCCAAGGAGCGTAAAAAGTACTAGTTAGGTCAAGGGTAACTGGGAGGTCAGAGGTCACCAGCAGGTGAAGGGTCAGTGACCAGATCCACTCAGTTGAAGGGACACGTGAGGAAACCCATTATAGACCACATGTGATTATCAGAAAATGAGAAAGGGAGCAGCTCTGTGGTGGGTTCAGGAAGATCCCCAGGTCCCAGCGGAGTGGGGGAGGGGGTGGTTAAGGGCCTCACCCAGCCAGCAAATTCCAGGATCTGTTATAGGACAGGGAGAGGGGCAGCCCAAACCCCGCAAACCTGCCTATTCTAAATGGGTTCTGCCATCCGCCGCATCAACACAAAACATATGAGACTTTAATGAAAAGGAACTTTAATAAAACTAGGAAACAATACAGGAAAGGCAAAGAGTCTAGTTTCTAAATGAAGCACCCAAAGTTACCCGTCCCCTCGTGGGTAAAAGTCCATCCATATGGGATTGGCCCAGAACAAGGCCCCAAAGCCTGCCACAAGTCTAAAGCATCTTCCAGTGGGGACCCACAGAAAAGGGTCACAAACAACCGGACAAGCCCGGAAGGAAAAGAGCAAAATCAACATCAAGATAAAAGCTGCCATTGTCGCCTCCCCACGGGTCTCACCCACATCTGTGTCACCCAGTCCACGACCAAAAGACACGCACAGTTTCTTCACGTGTCTCTAGGCTCCACGCGCCTCCTCCAGGTCTCCTGGCTTCATCCTGCTTCCTTCCTCAGTCTCTTCTGCAGCTTCTCCTCTTCCTGCTCAGCTCCACCCTCCCTTGGGTGGGGCAGGGAACCTCCCCCTTTCCTGGGGACCACCCTGTTGCAGATCCAGGGCCAGGGCCAGGGCAGCCTTTGCTTTGGAGTGAAGTCCACACGCACTGCGGTGAAGGCCACTGCCACTGCGAGCCACATGATTTGTTTACTGTGTCGTGAGAGGAGGCCGTCCTGGGGACACAGACATCTCCTGTCAGCACCCAGCCAGGGCAGCCCCGAGACCCGCTCACAGGGAGCAGGTGGGGAGAGAAGACAAGGGCACTGTGGAGTCAGGACTAGGGAGTGAGGGTTAAGGATTATCACAGATTTGAGTAATCCTGGAGCACCTGGAGACCCCAATGAGGGTAAAAAGTACTAGTTAGGTCAAGAGTAACTGGGAGGTTGGAGGTCACCAGAAGGAAGGGTCAGTGACCAGATCCACTCAGTTGAAGGGAGACGTGAGGAAACACATTATAGACCACATGTAATTATCAGAAAATGAGAAAGGGAGCAGCTCTGTGGCGGGTTCAGGAAGATCCCCAGGTCCCAGCCGAGTGGGGGAGGGGGCCTCACCCAGCCACCCTGTTCCTGGATCCAGGGCAGCAGTCGCTGTCGAATGAAGTCCAGCGTCCAGCCCATGATGCTGGTGATCAGCTCCCGCATGTCCGTGCACAGGGCCTACGGCGATGAGGTGGGAAAAAGGACTGAGCTCCTACTGCCAGGTGACTCCCCAGGCCCCTTTCTCAAACCTCTGCCTCCCCCCGACCCCCTGTGGTTCTTCCCACTCATAACTTGGATCTCATCACTGGCAACTGCCCTGCTTAGGACCTGTCCATCCTCCCAGGTACCCCTGGGATCCAAACCAAGGCATGGGCTGCCACAGGCCGGTGTACAAGTTCTCCTTGTTTACACTGAATTTTTCTTTTACTTTTTGGTGTCTCCTCCTTTTTCCAATCTTCATTCACACGAAACTCCTTTCTGCCTCAGGACCTTTGTGCATGTTGGTTATTCTGCCTCAATAGGACTTGTCTGACTTACCTGCCAGCTAAGACTCAACACCCCCAGTTGCCGTGACCTGCTCTCCAACTCCCTGGACGCCCCCTTCCACCCGTTATGTGGCTGCTTCTCCCCAGATCCACATGGGCCCCCAGCACTGACTGCTGCCCCCACCTGCAACATTCAGGCCCCATCAGCTCCATGTTACAAACACATCCAGAAAGCCACTTCCTCCCACCCCCGCTCCCACCTGAGTCCTGGCCCCTCATCGTTCGCTGGGTTCATTCTGGGTGCCCCCCACCAGCATCCCAGCTTTTCCCCCTGCGCCCCACAGTCCCTTTCCCAACTATAGTTGCCAAACTATGTTCTGTGATAATCCTTCTTCCACTTTGAGCGTCTCCAGAGAAAAGCTACCAGGATTCCAGAGTGAACAGTCTCACAGCCACAACAGTGGGCTGCACAACCAGCATTTGGCTACATATGTGAGAATAATCTTCAAATGAAAAATCAGTCACCTCGGCCTCCCTGGTGGCGCAGCAGTTGAGCGCTGGGCTGGGAAGCTGCCCACAGCCTCTGCAGTGCCCCGGCTGCCGGCGAGGGTCCCACATGGCGCATAGACCTCTCCTGCCACAACCGCTGCTCCCCTCAGCAGTGTATTTCATCCGTCTGCCTGTTCTGTTCCCTGCTCTGGCTCTGGTGACTCCTCTCACCCTCCCGCGCTTCTGACTGCACCCAGTGTGGTATAAATAAATAAATAAATAAATAAATAAATAAATAAATGTTAAAAAATTTTTTTTTTAAAAATCAGTCACCTCATTCTCATTTTTAAAGCCAGAGACAGGAGATAATCCTCTTGTGTCCCTGTGAGGAAAGCTAAGGTCCTTCAGGGGTTCCACACTCTGCCCTCAGCCCTCACCATCTTACTGCCTTCAGCACAGACCTGGTGCTGCCTCAGGACATTGGCACTTGCTGTGTCCTCTGCCAGACGCCTCTGCCCACCTGACCCTTCTATATCTGCGTCTTTATTGTCCTCCCGGCTTTGGCTTAATGTCACCTCCCCTTAGAAGTCTTTCCTGACCACGTGCACAACATGAGGGTGGCAGGAGAGCAGGACCCAGCAGCCTGCTTTGCAGTGTTGGTGGGCCCATGCGTGTTGAACGAATAAGCGAAGGAAGGAGCAGACCAGGGGCCACAGCTGTCTCTGTCAATTCCCTCTGTGGACACAGGGCTGCCCCAGGGGTACGGTCAGGACTCCCAGGTCTCAATGTTCTGTGGGTCCCTTCTGGCCCCCCACCCTGCATCTGCCCACCTTGAGCACCAGTTTGCTGATGAACCAGATAAAGGCAACAATCCTGCCCCAGGTGTAGCCGTCTGAAAATATTTCTTGTGCCACTTCAAAAACTTCCCCAGCAGTGAAGACTCTGTCCGTATCTATCATCCTGCAGGAAAGAGGAGAGCCGTGATGGGGAGAGAGCATCTAGCAGAGTGTGGAGACCCTGCTAACGAGGGGTCCCCCCACCCCTAAGCTAACGAGGCCCAGGTCAGGCTGACATGAAAAGCAAGGGGTCAACGTGCAGACAGGGGACATCTAGGGGAGAGAGGAAAATGGCTCCCTGAGGAGAGTTTCAGGATCCCAAGGGAGGGGACGGCCTGAGTTGAGTGATGGGACCCTGGACCATGGGGTGTGAAGGAGCAAGGATTATGGGTGCGGATCTCAGGAGAGGAGGGGTTGGGGGCTGAAGCTGGGCCTCCTGGTGTATGAAGGTGGCCAGTGAATGGATTCCTGGGTCCTGGGGCTGCACCTCTGCAGCTCCTTGTCCTTGTCCATTTCTTGTGCCTTGCGCTTGAGAACTTTCCCCAGTTCTTTGATGTATGGGTCCTGGGACACCAGCTCTGGGCCGAGCTCATCTATATCCTTTGCGGCTGGTCCTATTTGATCGCAGATGAAACTGAAAAGTACATGGAGTGGAGGATCAGAGTCAAAAGGGGCCACTCCTCAAATCCACTCCCCAATAATGAAACCTCAAACTCACCCCCGAAGCAAATGGGCCCCTGTCTCCATGATCTGCTCAGAGCTGGTGGACCCTGCAGGAGAAAGGAGGGGAGGGGTGTCTGGACTCTGGATCCAGGAGGGTCATGGGGGTGGGGACCGCTCATGGTCCCCAAGGTAGGCCAATGCTGGGGGGGGCGCACTGGACTTCGGGGACCTCAGAGATAAAGTGACCGGGGACAGGACAACTGCGTCCCTGACGGAGAAAGAGGCAGGGAGGCCCAGCCAGTGTCCTGCACTCTTCCGGGGGGAGGGGGCTGGGACAACACTGAAGGGGAGCAGACCTCTGGCCTGAGGTGCAGAGAGGAGAGCCGCCCCTCACCGCAGAGCAGAGGCAGGAAGTGGTGCCCGCAACAAGCCCGGGTCTGCCGGGGGGTCTGGATTCAGGGGTCTCCAGGTTCTTGAGGGGTCCGAGAGCACCCCACAGGAAGAGATCGGGTGTGGATGTCAGAGACCGGGTGTGGATGTCAGAGACCTGGGTACCCCCTGGGGAAGGAGGGGCTGGAGGCTGGCCGTGCCCCACCCTGGGGTACTGGGGGGGGGGAGGTTGGGTGTGTGTGTGTGGGGGGGTGCTGGCAGGGGTTATGTCCCGGGGGCTCGCCCTCCTCACTCCCATGTGCCCCCAGGCTCACCTCTGGGGAACCAGCTCATGACTGCTGATCTCTCCACTGACTCTGCCCTTCAAAACTGTGAGCTCTCGCTTTTCCCTGCCGCTGCTCCCTGGCTTGACTGGTCAATCAGGTCTTCCCTTTAGAAGCTGCTGCTAAATAAGGCCGCCTACCTGCCAGCAGCCCAGGACCACGCCCTACCTGTGGCCCCTGTGATGCCCTTGTGAACTTCCCTCCTGTAGGCAGTGATTTCAGAGGTTACCTGTGTGGGTGCGCGGCTCCAGGGCAGGATCCCTGAGCTCGTGTCAGTTTGCTGCTGTAGCAGAAAAGGACGGCAACCCGGCCCCAGGTGATGCCGTCTGAAAACATTTGTCCTGCCACATGGAAAAAGATGGAAGCTGTGCAGACTTTGTCCATTTCTGTCATCCTGCAGGAAAGAGGAGAGCCGCGATGGGGGGAGAGTGTCTAGCAGAGTGTGGAGACCCCGCTAGCCCCCTCATCCCCGACGTAAAGGGACCTGGGCGAGGCTGAAATGAAAAGCAAGGGGTCAACGAGTAGACAGGGGGCATCTAGGGGAGAGAGGAAAATGGCTCCCTGAGGAGGGTTTCAGGATCCCAGGAGAGGGGACGGCCTGGAGTTCGGACTCCTGTGTTGAGTGATTGGACCCTGGACCCTGGTGTGAAGGAGCAAGGATTGTGGGTGTGGATCACAGGAGAGGAGGGGGTTGGGGGCTGAAGCTGGGTCTCCTGGTGTATCGAGGTGACCAGTGACTGGATTCCTGGGTCCTGGGGCCGCACCTCTGCAGCTCCTTGTCACTGTCCACTTCTTGTGCGATGTGCTTGAGAACTTCCACCAGTGATTAGATGTATGGGTCCTGGTGTAACAGGGTGGTCCCCAGGAAATGGGGAGGTTCCAGGTTCCTGCCCCACCCAAGGGAGGGTGGAGCTGAGCAGGGAGAGAAGCTGCAGAGGAGACTGAGGAAGGAAGAAAGTAGGATGGAGAGCAAGAAGGAGACCTGGAGGAGGCGCGTGGAGCCGAGAGACACGTGAAGAAACTGCGCTTGTCTTTTGGTCGTGGACTGGGTGACACAGATGTGGGTGAGACCCGTGGGGAGGGGACAATGGCAGCTTTTACCTTGATTTTGATTTTGCTCTTTTCCTTCCGGGCTTGTCTGGTGGTTTCTGGCCCTTTTCTGTGGGTCCCCACTGGAAGATGCTTTAGACTTGGGGCAGGCTTTGGGGCCTTGCTCTGGGCCGATCCCATTTGGATGGACTTTTACCCACGAGGGGACGGGTCACTTTGGGTGCTTCATTTGGAAACTAGATTCTTTGTCTTTCCTGTATTGTTTCCTAGTAGTATTTAAAGTTCCTTCCCATTAAAGTCTCACATGTTTTGTGTTGATGCGGCGGGCGGCAGAACCCATTTAGAATGGGCAGGTTTGCAGGGATTTGGGCTGCCCCTCGCCCTGCCCTGTAACACTGGGACACCTGCTCTAGGGCCAGCTGAGCTACATCCTTTGCAGCTGGTCCTATTTGTTCGCAGATGAAACTGAAAAGTAAATGGAGTGGAGGATGCAGAGTCAGGAAGGGGCCACTCCTCAAATCCGCTCCCCAATAACGAAACCTCTCAAACTCACCCTGGAAGCAAAAGGGCCGCTGTCTCCATGATCTGCTCAGAGCTGGTGGGCCCTGCAGGAGAAAGGAGGACAGGGGTGTCTGGACTCTGGAGTCCTGGAGGGTCATGGGGGTGGGGAGCCGCTCATGGTCCCCGAGGAAGACCAAGCTGGGAGGGGCGGGCACCGGACTCCCCAGGCCCTGGGAGATAAAGTGACCCGGGACAGGACAACTGAGTCCCTGATGGAGAAGGAGGGAGGGAGGCCCAGCCTGTGCCCTACACTCTTCCGGGGAGGGGACTGGGCAACAAGTAAGGGGTGCAGACCTCTGGCCTGAGGGGCAGAGAGGAGAGCCGCCCCTCCCCCCAGAGCAGAGGCAGGCAGTGGGCCTGTCCGGGGGTCTGGATTCAGGGGTCTCCAGGTTCTCGGGGGTCCGAGAGCCCCCCGCAGGAAGAGATCGGGGTGCGGAAGTCAGAGAGCCGGGGCCCCCCGGGGAGGGAGGGGCTGGAGGCTGGCGGAGCCGGACCCGGGAGGTTCTGCCAGGGAGAGCCTGGACATCTCGCGGCCAGGGCTCTAGGGGGGCCGTCCCGGGGCTCCCCACCCCCCGCCCGTCTGCCTCCAGCCTCACCTCCGCCTCTGCGCTGTTCCCCGGGCCTGTCCATGACCGCCGCTCTCTCCGCTGACCCCTGCGAGGCCGCCCCGGGCGGCAGGTCCCTCCGGCCCGCTAGCCCCGCGTCCCCGGCCGCCCCGCCCCCGCCTGCCGGCCAATCAGCGTCGCCCCCGGAGCTGGGCGTGGCGCCACCTGCCCCGCGCGCACCTGAGACTCCCGCGCCTCAGGCGGCGTTTCCAGAGTCACAGGTGGGGGCGCCGTCTCCAGGGCGGGAGCCCCAGCGCCCGTCAGAGACCCCCGCGGCCCAGCAAGGGCTTCCCTGAGGCCGCGCGTGTCAGACGCCGGAGTCCCGGGTCTGTGTGACCGAAACAGGGTGTGAAGGTCAAAAGGCCGCACAATCCCCGGGGCTAGATGGGCAGCGCAGGGAACTGTGGACCCCAAGAAGGGCTGCCGGGGTGTCCCCACTGTGCTGGAGCTTGTGGTGATGATCTGGGGGCGCACAGAGTAAATCCCTGGCCCTGTGCACAGAAGACACGCACTTTCCTGGGTGGGGTTCACTGTGTCTCCTTGTAAGCAGGAAAAGATAAGAAACAAGTCATGAGAAAATAGTCTGGGGGAAGCTACAGAAACCTGTCATTCAGCCAGTGTGGTTAAAATACCTGCTTTTAGTTTTAGGGAGTGAGTGAATGCGTGTTTTGGCAAAGTGGTCTAGAAAATGACTAGATATATGGATGTATGTATATAAATATATATATAGAGAGAAAGAGAGTCAGTTAAATACATACAGTACTGCAAATACTGTTTGTTTTTTTTTTTAGATTTATTTATTTATTTATACAAGCTCTGGGTACAGTCAGAAGCAAGGGAGGGTGAGAGGATTCACCAGAGCCAGAGCAGAGAGAAGAACAGACAGACTGACAAAGTACACTGCTGAGGGGAGCAGCGGGCGGCAGGAGAGGTCTGCGCGCCATGCGGGACCCTCTCCTGGGGCCGGGGATTGAAGTGGTGCTGCAGAGGCTGCGGGCAGCTTCGCCACCCAGCGCTCAACCGCTGTGCCACCGGGGAGGCCCAACAAATACAGTTTGAAGGTTAAGGTTGAATCTTTTCTTTAGAGGAAAAAAATAATAGAAACCATTACAAAGCTGGAAGAGGAAGAACCTTTGTAAACAGAGAAGTGCCGTGAAAGTGGGAATTAAGTGATGCTGAGGACATCAGCTAAGACATTCCCAGGGACAGAGGGCCCTGAACGCTGACCTAGGAAGGTTTCTTGGGTGAAGGACACTAGGAAGAATTGGGGATGTCCCATTCTGCCTAGGGGTGTGAAAAATGAACCCATCTCTATGTTATCGGTTATGAGACCAGCTGTTTGGCTTAACTGTGGGGTGACACATCAGTTGAGAACAACAATAACCATTGTGTTACTGTGCATAGGCCTGTGGCACAGCCAGGTAGCCCTGCCTGGGGCCACTCAGTGTTTCCCATCAGCTGGTAAGTGGGGCTGGAGCACTGGAGAGCCTGAAGCAGTTGCCACCTGACCAGGAGCCTCTCCACTTTCATGGGACCTCCGGGCTTTCCATGCGGTTTCTTTGTGTGGATTAGTAGAGTGACTTCAGGACAGCTGAAGTTCTTGTGTGGTGACTGAAGGGTCTAGAGTGTATCTGGCCTCCCTGGCAGTGCAAGAGGTTAAGTCACAGCACTGTGAAGCTATCACCAGCCACCGCAACAGTAGTTCGATCCCCAGCCAGGGAGGTGACCCACATGGTGCAGCAGACCTCTCCTGACTCTTCAGCTGCTCCCCTCAGCAGTTTATTTTGGTAGATACGTCTGTTCTGCTCCACACTCTGTCTCTGGTGAATCCTCTCACCCCCCACAACTCTGGCCTATAACCCAGTTCTTGTATGCATAAATAAATAAATCTTTAAATCCCATCATTGTTGATCCCGAACCTGAGTGGTCTTGTAATTGTGTGCATGGGTGAAGACAGTGACCAGTGAACTACTTGGGCATTGTTCTTGCCGAGTTTTAGTGCCCCTTATTGCCCAGTAACAGAACCAATCAGGGAGTGACCCATGGACACTGACTAGAAGTGTGACCCAAAAGGGTTTCATTATCTCATCTCCCCAATAATTACAAAAGAAGGGGGGTCACCTGTAAAGTTTGAGTGACTTGGTGCAGAGGAAAGCAACAGGAGGAAGGGGTGGCAATAAAATGGAAAATGATCCCCCATCGTCACCTTGCTTGGAAAAACGTCACATTGATGCTGAAAAGACAGAGATCAAGGCAGCTGGGGCCTCAGCCTGAGATGGTCCGGACTCTGAATACGGCGAGCGCTGCAGTCCCGATGATGGCCACTGCCACTGCCACTGCGAGCCACTTGACTTTATTACTGTGTTGTGAGAGGAGGCCACCCTGGGGACACAGACATCTCCTGTGAGCACCCAGCCAGGGCAGCCCCAAGGCCCGCTCACAGGGAGAGGGCGGGGAGAGAAGACAGGGGAGTCAGGACTAGGGAGTGAGGGTTAAGGATTATCACAGATTTGAGTAATTCTAGAGGACCTGGAGACCCCAAGGAGGGTAAAAAGTACTAGTTAGGTCAAGGGTAACTGGGAGGTCAGAGGTCACCAGCAGGTGAAATGTCAGTGACCAGATAAACTAGTTGAAGGGACACGTGAGGAAACACATTATAGACCACATGCGATTATCAGAAACTGAGAAAGGGAGCAGCTCTGCGGTGGGTTCAGGAAGACCCCCAGGTCCCAGCGGAGTGGGAGAGGGGGTGGTTAAGGGCCTCACCCAGCCACCCTGTTCCTGGATCCAGGGCAGCAGTCGCTGTCGAATGAAGTCCAGCGCCCAGCCCATGATGCTGGTGATCAGCTCCCGCATGTCCGTGCACAGGGCCTACGGCGATGAGGTGGGAGTAAGGACTGAGCTCCTACTGCCAGGTGACTCCCCAGGCCCCTTTCTCAAACCTCTGCCTCCCCCCGACCCCCTGTGGTTCTTCCCACTCATAACTTGGATCTCATCACTGGCAACTGCCCTGCTTGGAACCCTCTCATCCTCCCAAGTCCCTGGGATCAAAGCAAAAGGCATGGGCTGCCACAGGCCATATAGAAGTTCTACTTGTTCACACTGAGTTTTTCTTTTACTTTTTGGTGTCTCCTCCTTTTTCCAATCTTCATTCACACGAAACTCCTTTCTGCCTCAGGACCTTTGTGCATGTTGGTTATTCTGCCTGAACAGGACTTGTCTGACTTACCTGCCAGCTAAGACTCAACACCCCCAGTTGCCGTGACCTGCTCTCCAACTCCCTGGATGCCCCCTTCCACCCTCTATGTGGCTGCTTCTCCCCAGATCCACAAGAGCCCCCAGCACTGACTGCTGCCCCCACCTCCAACATTCAGGCCCCATCAGCTCCATATTACAAACACATCCAGAAAGCTCCTTCCTCCCACCCTGCTCCCACCTGAGTCCCGGCCCCTCATCATTCGCTGTGTCCATTCTGGGTGTCCCCCACCAGCGTCCCACCAGTTTTGCCCCTGTGCCCCACAGTCACTTTCCCACCTATGGTTGCCAAACAATGTTCTGTGATAATCCTTCTTCCACTGTGAGCGTCTCCAGAGAAAAGCTACCAGGATTCCAGAGTGAACAGTCTCACAGCCACAACAGTGGGCTGCACAACCAGCATTTGGCTACATATGTGAGAATAATCTTCAAATTAAAAATCAGTCACCTCGGGCCTCCCCTGGTGGCGCAGCGGTTGAGCGCTGGGCTGGGAAGCTGCCCACAGCCTCTGCAGGGGCGGTTCGATCCCGGCTGCCAGCGAGGGTCCCACATGGGGCGCAGACCTCTCCTGCCGCCCGCTGCTCCCCTCAGCAGTGTATTATGTCAGTCTGCCTGTTCCCTGCTCTGGCTCTGGAGAATTCTCTCACCCTCCCATGCTTTGACTGTACCCAGTGCTTGTATAAAGAAATAAAAAAATTAAATTAAAAAAAAATAAAAAGAAGGCATCTCAACAACGAACTCAAATTTGAAAAACAGTCCACAGAGAGGGTGATGAAGGGTTTGGGCAGATAAGTGAGAGGAGAAACAGAATTCACCTTCGATGTCACTTTAAACTTTTCTCTTCAGACCTCTCCAGTGGTGCTGTGGTTTGAACGCTGAGCTGTGAAGCTGTCCCCAGCCTCTGCAGTGCAGGTTCGATTCCCGGTCGGCCAGGAGATTCCCCCATGGTGTGGCAGACCTCCTCTGCCTCGCTCCCTACTCCCCTCAGCAGTGTCTTCAGTCCGTCTGCCTGTTCTGTTCCCCGCTCTCTCTGGTGAATTCTCTCACCCTCCTGCACCTCTGACCTGTACCCCAGTTCGTGAAGAAATAAATAAAACCTTAAAAAAAATTACAAACTTTTCTCTTCAGTCTGCTTTCTGTTCACTTATTGACAGAAAGCTCTTCCCATAGGTACCAATATCACAGTTGCTTAGGATGTGAGCTCCCTTAAAAAGTCTTTTCAAGGGCCTCCCTGGGGGCATAAGGGGTTAAGACTCAGCAGGGTTTCTTCAGAAAAAGTGAATCCTTGGGTATCCTGCAACAATAACTGGAAAAGAAGTCAGTAATATTGAAGTTTTTGTCTGTTTCTTAAACAAATATCTCAAGTCCTCAATGGGTTCACAAGACCAATGGGACTTCATCTCTGGGTCAGTTCCTCCAGGGGCTTTCTTAACTCTGGAATGATGTACCCAGGGTTTTATGCCTGCAAGTTTCAGAGAAGTATGTGAAGTAGAACATCTACCTCTCATAGAAACAAGAATGTAGCAAACGGCGCTTACACATATTACCACAAAAACACTCAGAAGCACAGTCTGTAAAGGGATGGCTTGTAAACCACCCATGTATGTATACAATAGTAAAATCACGTGCCATACACCAGGCTTCATCAAATTATTTACATTAATGAAACTGGTGGTGATATTTAATGGAAGAAAGAACTCAAATTCAAGGCCGGAAGGAAACTGAAAGAACTCAAATAGGGATGAAACTGTATAGGCTCATGGTTGAGGC